AAAAAAAAAAAAAAAAAAAAAAAACGAACAAGAACCCGTCAAAACACTCTCATACCAACTGTTGAGAGATAGTGATAAACAAAAGGGAAAAACAATACCTGAGAGATTTAACGATCGAAAGGATTGATGATTGTGGGAAATCAAATAATGGCCTTCTCTTGAGCAAACGCAGCAGCCTTTCGAGCGAGCGCGTGGATTGGATGGGATTTATAGTGCTTCTCTGCCTGCAGTACAGGTAGTGTGCCCTTCGGTTGTCAATTGGGCTTGCAGCCTAAAGAAATGGGCCGTAGCCTTTTAGGTTTATGGACCATATTATGAGGCCTGGGACTCAGTATGTTTGTTTGAAAGCTATATTATTCCACTATTAATGTCTAGTACAACGCCCGTGTATTACACGGGTGCTTGCAAATTTTTACTTAAAATCTAATATTAATGAGAAAAATAGTCAAAAATTTAAATACTTTTTATAAAAATATATATATTATTATATATTTAGTATGACACCTTTTATTTGTGTGACTTACATGTGTTATATTATAATTTTTTTTTTTAACTTACAACAATAACGACATTAAGCCTAAATATATCAATTGAGAAATATTTTTATTTTTATAATTAATTTTAATAAATATTATTATTTTTTATTATTACAAAGATAAATATAATTCATTTATTTCATATATACAATATGGATGTCAAATCGAAGATCATCAAAAGATGATTAATTTGATATATTATATATGTAAAATCGATAAAAAATACAAAAATTATCAACTTTTAAAATACATTATAATTAAATAGCTAATTGAAGGAAGCAAATCAAAAGTCAGGGATATTAGTCACTTAGTGCCTTACTATGTAAAATTATAAAGAATTAAAGGGTTATATTAGTACAAGTGATATTAAAATATCTACGTTAGCTAAATAATATTTATAAAATGTCCGAACCTAGATTATTAATTATTAATATATTAATGTTATTTGTCCAAACCTAATTACGAAGCATGGTTCTTCGCCAAGTAGGATTCCGAAGCACCAGAAGCATCCACGTAGGCTCAGCGCATTCGGGAATTATATATAGGAAGGGTTGTAACACAATGTTTATTGAATTTTATAAAATTCTAAATTATTTTTAAATAGTTTGTTAGTTGCTTTTATTATTGTTTGTTTACTTTCTAGTTTAATGTTTATTATGGATAACACAAATTTCTTTTTTTTTTTAAAGAAAAAAAATGTATTTTAAGGTATCCATATATTTAGTGAGAATAACATAATCTATATATTTGTAAGTAAAAATAAAAATAAAACAATACATATGAAGTAAAGAGTTACAATATGCATTAATTAGTATTCAAATGTATCAAAAATGGGTGATGATAATCACTTATTCTTCCAACAAGTTTTGTAAATATATCAGTGTTCTAGAAGTCGCTAGGCGCCCGACTAGCGCCTAGCGCCTAGAGCGCCTAGTCGGGGCCTAGGCGGCGCCTAAAAATTATAATAAATATATTATTTTTTATTTATTTTTACAATTTCACTAATAGAATTATAACTTATAATTAATAGATTCATACACCTAAGTCCCAATAATATTATTAATATTATATTATAAAAAAAACTCCAAGTCAAAATAAGTACATAACCACAATATAACTTCTTCTCGTTGTAATTTTCTCAAACACATTATCTACATGTTATGTTTTAAATATTACACAACATAAGATAAATATATAAAATTATAAAATAATAAATTATAAGATTTATTATTTAAATTAAATTCATTTAGTAAAAAAATGTA